TTAAAAAAAATTAAGCTTAAAAAGCTTTATTGGGTGATAAAGCTGATGTGAATAGCTAAATTGTACAAGAATTTTTAATGTTCTCCAAGGATTGGGTTCTTACCACATGGTTAACAGTATGTCCCTTATGTTAACAAATGGCTACATACTTTACATGTTATGAAAAGGTCTGCTTCTAGTATTCTTCAGTTTGATCTATTGATAGTTATCATTGTGTAAAAATTTAAATGTTTAAACATGCATTAAAATATTCCTTGGAATTTAAGCTTAGCCTGATCTAAATTAGCAAAAAAAAAAAAAAAGCTAAAAATTTCTAACTTAGAAAATAGCACTTGGGTGCCACCCTGTGGTGTTTTGAAAGTAGTGCATGTATGTAGTAATTGTTAGCATTTAGGAAAGCTCAACTGAAATTTCAAAACAGCTGCTCAAATATGGTGCGCCCACATTTTGGAGTGTGGAACAAGAAGAGACTGGGATCACCAGTAGTGAACCTTTAGGAGTGACTTAGTGTCTTATTCCCCTAGGACTCTCTAAGCCTCTTCCATATAGGACTCCCTAATACTCCACCACTTGAAAGTACATTTTCTTGTCCTTCTGGCTCTCCTGCAATATGAGCCCCCCATTAATTAGCAGTTTGCCTTGCTTATTGCAGTATCCCAAGTATACGGTCCAGTACATAATAGATGCTCAATAAATATACATTGCAAGATGAACTCATCAATTAATGTTTTATAATGTATAACTATCAAGAAGATTCAAATTCAAGGGCCCATAATCAGTAACTTTCTCATTCCAACTTTCTCATTGTCATTTCACTTCCTTCAACCATTTTTAAGTAGTAAAGTATATCTTATAATTTTAAGTTTTTTGCTAGGGCTATCATTCATTTTAATTTCTATAGCAGTCATTTAAAAATTGCTACAATCTACTTATGTGTTACAAAGTTACCAACGATGTAGAAAGTGGTATTTTTAATGTGCTACTTCAATTTAGGAGAATGATAAACCTCTGTACTGGGGAAAAGATGCTAATTTGAAAATGTCCAAGTGGAGAGTGACAATTCACTGGTTATTTAAAAAAAAAAAAAATTTATGCATACAGAACTGGGCTGTAGGTCAGAGATGCAGGGGCAGAGAGAAGACTCACCGAGACAGAGTGGAGATCAGAACAGGCAGGCAGATCAACGAAGTACACTGCTGAGGGGAGCAGAGGGCAAGACAGAAGAGGTCTGCTCTATGATCCCTGGCCAGGGATGAAATCATGCTGAAGCGGCTGTGCCTGCTGCTAGCTTTGCAGGACTGTGCTTTAACCCACTGTGCCACCAGGTGGGCTCAATTCACTGGTTAATTTATTTATTTTGTCATACGACTGTAGTTCAAAAAGAAAATTTCTAAATAAACAAAACACCAAGAAACAATAGGAAAGAACAAGCAAGGAGTATACTGAGGGAAAAGTGTGGGCTTAAAAATTGTTTTTTGAGCAAGCAGTGGGAGTTTACTTTTCCAAAGAAGAGTTTTAAAGACAACACAACACAGTAGGTTGCATGAAAGCCTGGCATCAGGTACCTGGGCTGTAAGAACCAGCACAAATCTTTACAGGATGAAACGCCCCGACTAAAGACAATTCTCTTCATATTCCAACTGGAGCAGGGTTGCTGCAGAAACCCCTCCTCTGTGCTGACTCTCCCGTTGCCATTACCAATTCCTGAAAAGCCCTTGAACGAAGAGATCATCACACACTGGCAGCCTGAAATAAGAGGAAAAGTTCTGTTTGGGCCACAGGTGTGCAAGGAAGCAATTCACTGGTAGAAAACAAAGAACTTAGCGTTCCTCTCACCTCTGAAGGCCAGGAATCTCACCCCTTAACCAAAACCACTGACTGAAACCTCTTTGCACAGGGGATAACATTTACTGTGACCTGGGGACTCATTTTTGACAGTGATACCATGGGAATGTGGACTCTTTGTACTAAGATTTGTAGAGCTCAAACTGACGAATATAAAAAATAAACTAAAAAAAATAATTTGTAGCGCTAACATAATCAAGTACTACAAACTGTAGCTGAATGGAAATTTTTTTCAGAGCTCTAGAAGCTAGAAGCCCAAGATCAAGGTGTCCACGGGCTTGGTTCCCTTTGAAATCTTAGGGAGAATCTGTTTATTCCTTTTTGCTTTTGGTTGTTTGCTGGCAATCGCTGGCATTCCTTGGCTTGTAGAAAAATCACCCCAATCTCTTCCATCATCTCTCATGGTGTTCTTCTGGTTTGTGTAAAAATTCCTGCATTCTCCTCCACCCTGCACCCCCCTTTTTTTAAATCTGTAAAAATTCTGTCTCCAAATAGCGTCGCATTCAGAATAAATCAGTTGGGGGAATACAACGCAACCTATAACACATAAGATAAAGTAAAAAAACCAAAGCCAAAGTTTAGATAGCATCTAAACTCTGAGTTAAAAATATGTCAAGTAATAGGTCCTCCCTGGTGACACAGGGGTTAAAGTCTCAGTGCTGTCAAGCTATCACCAGCCGGTGGGCCATGAGTTCCCCAAGTTTGATCCGGAGCCAGGGAGCTGACCCACATGGCATAGCATTCTCCTAGGTCTCCCTCACTGTCCCCCTCAGCAGTGTATTTCAGTAGATTGCCTGTTCTGCTTCTGTCTGGTGAATCTTGCCATCTCTCATACCTTACCAGTCTTGTATGCATAAATCAATCTTAAAAAAAAAAAAAAAGTATGTCAATGAAGAGATACCAGAAATAAGGAATGTTTCCTTGGCTATTTTGAGCTTTCAGATGGTACTTTGTTCATTCCAACCCAAAATTAAATTGGTGAATTTGAACTTTCTGATGAATTTTCAGTAACTGCCACTTACCTGCATTCAATAACTTCATTTTCTCCTTTTTATCCAATCGGTCAGAATAGTTCAGGAGTGACTATAATTATAATTTCCTTTCCTAATAAACTTTTTTTGATAAAAGATTTATTGATCCATACAGAACTGGGGTACCAACCAGAGGTGTAGGGCAGTGAGAAGATTCACCAGAGACAGAGTGTGGAGCAGAACAGGCAGATCGACAAAGTACACTGCTGAGGGGAAGCAGCAGGCAGGTCAGGAGAGGTCTGCCGCACCATGTGGATCACCTCAGGGCTGGCGATGATCAAATTTGCACTGAATAGGCTGCAGCTTGCGTCCTAACCGCAGCGCTACCAGGAAGGGCCCTCCGAAAAAACTTTTTAAGAGGACTGAAAATATACTTGTTATTGACGGGAACTGAACTGTCAACTATACACTGGTGACATGAAGCTTTTTCTTTAAAATAAAAAATAGACTAAAATCAAAGGAATAAAGTTGACAAATGTATATAATTTGACAAGTGTCTATTAACTTTTACGCTGGATATAAAGTCTTAGATTTTACCTGGTGGAGGTTTTCTGCCACCAAAGAAAAATGTATAAAATATAGTTCACCACTTCATTATATTAAAACCAGAATAGAGACTATAACAAAACCAGAATTACAAGATTTAGAAAACAATGACTCTGGTTTACTAAACTTTTAAAGAAACTGAGGGGCAAATGAGAAGTGCTTTTTGATGTTCTCCTGGTCAACCAATACATTCTCAAGCTTCTTTAATACATTTTAAGCCTTAAAATCTAAGACTTCATAAATTCATGAGGGTAAATTAGGCCTTACATTTTCATCGGACATCATTTCTAGTAATCTATTTTCTGGAGGTCATAGTCTCACTACAATCTGCTTTTCTGACTGAGCAATTCTCTGCATTGAACTTATTTTGTTATGACTTTCATTCTGAATATGACTTCAACCCTCCACCCTAAGCTCTGCTCTTTTATGATTTCCCTGAGTCTTTGATCGGAATGAACTAAGAAAATTCCTTATGAATCTTATTTTTTTTTCTCATAGTTTATAAGCATAATTTAAAGGTTAATTTTTAGGAATCAAACATAAGAACTTGGTAATTTTAACTGTTTACCCAGTATCATGTCCTGAAATAGCAAACACAGAGGGCTCTGTCATGACCCTTTCTATGGCTTTACAGATAACACAGATTGTCACTACACAGATGAAGGAACTAAGGCACAGAGCAGGGAGCTTGGTTAGGGTTACATAGGCATGGTGAGGGTTCAAACCATGGTAATCAAGCTCCAGATTCTGAGCTCTCACTTCCATACCATAGTGCTTCTTAAAATAACACACAAGAATTTTTCTGTATTATAGTTCATGAAAGACAAAAGCAAAATATAACTTTAGCTTTCATTCCAGTAACCACAGTTTATGCTTGACCTCAATTAACAGTTATTTCATACACAGCTTCTGAAATACATCTTTTGTTTATCAATTTTTTTCAAATGCAAAGAACAAGAACTAATAAAATTCATTTTGGGTATCATAATTCTTTACCTTCAACTAAAGAATTAAAGCAGCACAACACTGATAGTATTTTTCAAAAAACTATGACCACGGCCCACCCTGGTGGGGCAGTGGGTTAAAGCACAGCACTAAGAAGCTTAAGCCACTTGTGCATGAGTTCGATCCCCGCCTGCCCTGGAGATCCACATGGGGAGGCAAACCTCTCCTGACCCGCCCACTGCTCCCCTCAGCAGTGTACTTCAACAGTCTGCCTGTTCTGCTCCTCACTCTGTCTCTGGTGGCTCCTCCCACCCTCCACATCTCTGGCCTGTACCCCAGTTCTGTATGTAAATAATATTAAA